TTTCTGGCCTAATTACCACGGTGCACCCGTAAGCAGTGAGAACGAGATTAACAAATTTCCCTATGTCCTCTCCCGGACGCCGTAGGCACAGCATTTACGTACTGTCATGTACATGTACATGTACATCAAGGATTGTACATTATGTGATGCATATCGCTGGCCGCACAGCGGCGCTGCGCTACACAATCTTTGCTGTAGTTGTATGCGATACAACCAGGCTGTTTGACGTGACTTGTGGAATGGTGGAATCGAGAAGCATTCGATGGTCATTATTTATCACTGAACTGCTTGAGTTTTAGCGATGACGGCTGTGCTGGAACCTTCCAGGTGTTGAAGCTTCGTTAACAGCGTCCCAAGTAGGAAAACCAAACTGCACAATCTGCAAAGGCGCCTGAGCTGTGTGTGAACGTTTTGGACCTTCCGCATATTGCGCATATCCGCTGGAACATTATTTTACCTACGGAACGCGTTACATACATGTGCATGTAGGTCCGGAGTAAGCTGGAATTCACAACCTTTTCACCGTTTAGTTCAGCAGGCTTTGTATTAGAAGAAAGTCTGCTGTTGGACGTATGTGACACAAGCATCACCATAGTAACTCACCGACTGTTTTTTTTTCAGAACTTTTTGCTGTTCTGAAATAAACAGTCCAGCGCGTACTACAACTGAGTCGATTTCACGCCGCGTGATTCTAGCGCGGACAACAAGCCGACACACCCGTCGCAGTACAGGCGGTAGTCTCTCAAGGGAGTACCGTTCCAGCGTGAAACTGGAGCGACCAAGGCAATCAGCGTTTATATTTCACAGACAGAATTTTGTAATTTTTGGCTTAGTGCCAGATCGGACTAACAACAGACAGTGGACCTCCGAGCTATGCACCGATTTAAGACATTGTGGACGTTTGGTCAGCTCCGGCCAGTTAACTTCAGGACATTATGGCTGTCCGGCATGAGGGCCGGATGTGGACATGGACAACAGTCCTGGCGCTGCTATGTCACTCCTGTGGCCACAGAGCCCTTTCTGAGTGGCAGCAGTTCAAACTATGTGGAACAAATGTACCAGTCATGGCTTGAAGATCCCAAATCAGTGCATAAGGTGAGACTGAGAGGATTTGGAACAAGGGTTGTGTACTTTTGGAAGTAAGGCTGTTTCTTAGGGGCCTAGCCACTTCTAGCCTGTCTGAAACCATTAAATGTTGGACAATGTGTGGCCCCATAAGAGTGGTCTGGAGACTTCCTTTGTTATATTCCTGGTGGAAAGATAGCCACCAGAAAGCAACAACATATCCACAAAAGTTTAATTTACATGTAGAACTAGGAAAATACCAAGTCGTTTACTGAGAAAAAACAATTTTTCAGACTAGTCTCGTTTTTGCACAGGTTGTCAAATGGCATCCTTATATGGAACTCTCCTCCGTGACCACACATCTGTTAATGCCAAATCGCCTGGTAAACATTTGCAAACCTTTGCATGGTAAAAATTCCATACAGATGCTGATTGGTCTGAAAAATTGAAAAAAGTGTTTGCACAAATTTGTACACGTTTTGTGCCCCAATGAGTGTCGACTGTACTATTTGTATGTAAGTTCCCTTCCTGCACTTTTTTGTGATCTTACATGTAACACAAGTACCTCAGACCTTCCAAGATTTGAAGTTTCAGGCATACACGTAGATGACAGAATTAAAGTACTTCGAATTGTAGCCTTTTTTCACAGCTTTTTTCCCCTACACTTGGTGATCTTGACACGCATGCCCCAGTGCTCAAGTTTGGCAGAAGTGACGTTTAATTAGTGGTTCCTCTGCTTGACATGAAATGCAACAGTTGTCATGCTGTTGGGAGCATGGCCTGGTAACCTGTTGCCGGGCACTGGTGCATGTGTGTCGAGGTTACTTTGAGAACTCTTAAGTCACTACTTTGACGATGATCGTACTGTTCATGAAGTTGTGTTTATCACATTGCGCATGTGTTGGGCCAGCCAGTGTCCAAGCTTGCTCCCCATTTGGTTCAAGCATTTTCGGATTCGGGAAGTGGCATCTTGTTTTCTTTGCGCGACTGTCTTTACCATGTGACCTGTAAGCTGATACCATCAGGACGAGCGACCACTGTGCTGTGGAGCTGTGACAGATTGCAAGATCTTTGAAATCCCCCCGTGTCCAATGGTCGGGTGGAAATGAGAGATTGGTGAGTAAAAATGCCGGATTTTAAAAAAATTCTTGGTTTCAGACCTGGAACTCCCCTGCTAGCATTTTCAAGAGCTGTACAAATTTAGGTACCTCGCAGTTGCTCTCACAAGAAAATCCAATTGAAAAAGTAGACTATGGATTACTGCATCTTCACCGCAAAAACTGGATTCAAAAACACACAGCGTCATGACCCCTTGAAAATATGCCTCAAAGTCACACGGAATAGTGACTTACATACATAGAGTTCTCGAAGTATGTCGAGGTCATCAAGGGCAGGGAAAAAAATTCCTGCAGTTTGAAGTGGTTTAATGCAATTGTTTTAGGGCTAGTTCATACTCACTGCATTTGCACACACGTAATGTGAACGCCGCATTTGATGCCCATGCTTTCATTTTTTTTATGTCTCAGCTGCGTGTGCGTATCCAACAAAAGTTTTAAAAATTCATTTTTTTTGCAAACGCATACATTTGGTGCGTACGCACTATCCAATATTTTCACAAACTGCATGCAAGGGCGTGAATTTTCATTATGCACTGCGCTTTAGTTCACGCATTGCAGGCACCTCAAAATAGACCTTCATGCTACGTACACAGTGAATATGCAGTGAGTATGAAGTGGCTTTCACTGTACATGTACAAGAAGTCATAATGCCGTCTGCTTTTGAATCCAACTTCTGAGGTAAATTACTGGTGACACAAATTCCACTTTCTCAATCAAATATTCCCAGGAGAGCCCTTGTGACGTTGGTACAAATTTCTTAACCGTGGTTTCTGGACCATAAGCCTGACCATTTTTTTTAAATTTGGAGTTTTTACTCACCAATCTGTCCTTCTCTACCCTAGTGAGGACAATTGCACCGTACAGCATTTCACTGCACTTGCATACTGTACATGTACAGTACATGTAGTTCCAATGCAGGCATGGGAATCTTTCCAGTTTGATGCAAGTTTGCACCGGTAGGGTACAGAATGAGAGATTTGGGAGTAAAATCCTGCAGGTAATTAAAAAAAAAAGGGTCTGTCTCATCGCTCATGGTGTAGAAGCCACTGTTCTGAAATTTTCAAGAGCTACAGGTACATGTACATATACATGTACCTCATGATGGCTCTCATAGGAAAATTTGATTGAGAAAGTGGAATTTTGGTCACCATGATTAATTTACCTTAAAAATCGGGTAGGGTTATGACCCCATGTACACTGTACAGAAAAATGCAGAAAGGCACATGTAGTTGCCTTTTGGTTTCCAAAAGTACTAGCTGTCATCTGTGGCTGAAATTTCAAATTTTTCAATGTCTGAGTAAGATCACCTAAAAAATGAAGGAAAGAGAAACCGAGTCCTCAATATTTACAGGGACGCAAACATACGGTACATGTGTAAATCATGTGTGCAGGAGTGTGCATGCTGTGTTCTGCAAATCCAAATATTTACCTCGTGATTTGGCATTGATGGACCTGTGGCCAAGGATACAACAAGGCAAGTCTCCAGACCACACTCTTGGGGCTAGATCAAGTAGTGCTACAAGTATTTGCCAAGGTTCGGGTTCGGTTCAGACACAGTACGGAAATTTTTTGCCGATCTTTGGTTCGGTTCGGGTTTGGACATGCACACACATGTACAATGCACATTGGGACATCAAAGAGCTCGCTACGAACGTGACGTATATCTGCCTCGACTAGAAGTACCCCCTCAACAGTTGAACAGAGCCAGGTAGTCCGCAATACTCGACCAATCGCCATCTTGTTTGGTGCATGCATACGACGGACGCGACGCGCTGCAGCACTAGCAGTGCACATGTATGCCTTGTCTCGTGCATGCTGAAGTGCATGTACTAAATTTGAGCTCTTCAAAAATGTAAGTGTCCTTGCGTGCATTCTTAGGCTCTAGGTTATCTAGCCAAGGGCTTTCATTGAGACGGTATAGCTTTGAAGAAGGCGAGAGAATAGCCGGCCATCGTCATCATCATGTTCATGGTGAACATAGCAAAATATGCCATGCGGGGGTGTTTTCACTATAGAAAAACTTGCCCATGAGGTATGTTTTCCGTTCCTCTTTGAAGTCAAGTAGGCGATTATAACTATGGATCACCGTGTCTGGAAGGTTTAGTCATAGCAGGTTAGTCACAGCCTAGGCTTTAGTATTATTATTTAAGCGGGAAGAGTTCCATATAGGCATGGCCTACCCCCAGAACTGTGGGGTCCGACATCTGCCCTGCTCCCACATTTGGAGTGGGGTGGATGTCAGACCCAAAGTTTTGGTGGTAGGCGTAGGCCTAGGTTCCATATGCCTACGGCTGCCAGTAATTCTTCCCTTCACTTCAATAATCAGAAAGCAAAAACGTGACATGATAAAATTGGTGTTTTATACAGTTGCTAGAACTTGGAATTCAGATTTTATGATGTCGTGTCTTTCTCTTAAAAACAATGAATTTTGGGGGGTCAGCAGTGATGTTGGGATATGCATGTAAGTTTAGGGACAGTTTCTGAGTTCAGATGGATGCCACTACTGATGATTGCATGATTTTTGCGTGATTGGTCGATCAACCTTTAATCATTAAGTTGTTGGCATTTTCAATCCAACTAAAAAACTCAGTTCACATTAAACAGTCAGTCATCATTTCTCACATGTTTCTAAAATTATCCCTTAATTTTGTTTTTATTCTATGAAATACATGTTCAGGCGTGATGGCTCCCCTTGGAAACCAGGTAAATCCAACAGAATGTGTGCTTGCCATTTTGAGGATAGGAAGAAGTGTAACAAACACTTCCTGAACACAGGAGGTGACTACAGTAAGGAAATCAACGAATATAAGACGCAGGTACCTGTTTCTACTCCAGTAGTATCTGCTGATCACAACTACATGTACATCTCGGGCCAGCTGATCCCAAAGTAGAAAACTGAGAAAGTGCATGTGCACGGACAGATTCAAGCCACTTTTCCTGAACAGGATACATGCACCTGCATTGGCCCAGGAGCTCATGCATGAACTGCTGTCCATATTATGTATTGTTACGTGACTGGTACCGAGGCTAGTACCTAGGCATCTTTCTACAAAGAACCCTGTATTGGACACACAGAAACAAAAGACCAGTGCATAGGACCAGATGCCGTGCCAGGAAACCCCAAGTGCACATGTGAATTTTATGGCTGGGATGGCACAGATGCAGCTAAAGACAAAATCCATGATGTGACAGGTGTGCAGCTGAGTGTGTTTCTCCTCCTCTCACTGCTACCAACAAAGTCAAGTGGTATGAGTCTAGAGAATTGTCTGCTGTTGTTTCTCATGAAACTGTGATTTGGTTTGCCATTTACATGTTTAGGAGTAATTTTTTCAGTATTCAGAACAACAGTATCAAGAGCTTTTCTTTTTGTACTCGAAAATCTGTCCAGATCAACCGTTGACTGGTCATGTGGCCATCAGCAGCAACAGTCAAGTCTTTGTTGCCTTCTGCTTTTTCTGAGTACCCAAATGCCAAGTGTATTATAGATTTGAATTTAGAACTGAGAAACCATCAACTGTGAAGGGACAGGTGCCGATTTATTCTCATTACAAAGGAACATACAGTTGTAAAGTATTGGTTGGTATCTCTCCACACGGATTGATTTCTTTCTTGCCGAAGACTTTTTATGGAAGAACAACAGACAGTAAAGTCATAATAGAGTGGTATTTTGGATTTACTAGAGCCAGGAGATGTGATCATCAATTGCACCCATAATTTCTGGATTACCCATATGTATTTTTCTGAGACCAGTTCAGAAAGTTTTGTGTTGCATAGAAAGTAAGAAAAATATTACACTCATAATAAATGCATTATCACTTACATCCACATGTACATGTATGTATTCTCTGCAGATTTAACAAAGGCCTTGAAAGATACTTGACATTGATGCTGTCTCTTAACCCCTTCGCGCTG